AGGTGATCCGACTGTTGACCCATCGGGTGACCCGATGGTTGACCCGTCGGGTGACCCGCGGTTGACCCACCCGGGTACCCGACCCACCCGCGGGTGACCCGGGTGACCCCAACCCGGGTCAAAACACTACGAGATACCTTCGATTAAAGTCAAAAAAATTTTGCTACAGCTAATATTTTCTTAAATTTGATTGAAGGTATCTTGATAACTGCCAACCAAATTTGATAGATTTTTTTTTTAATTCAATTCTACTGTCTATAGAATTTAAATAAAAAATAATAACTGAATTTGGTTAGGTGGTTGTTAAAATATCTTCAATCAAAGTTAAAAAAAATTTTGACATTTAAATTTTTTAAAAATTTGATCGAGAATATCTTGACAACTACTCAACCAAATTTGATAGCTTTTTTTATTTGAATTTTTTGAAACAGTAGGATTCAAATAAAAAAAAAAATTCATCAAATTTGATTTGGTGAGTATTGAGATAGCTTTAATTAAATTTAAGAAAATTTTTAATTGTTATTAGCAGTAGCAAATTTTCTTGACTTTGATTGAAGATATCTCGACACCCACATAATCAAATTTGATAAAATTTTTTTATTTGAATTTCATAGTTCTGGAAAATTCAAATAAAAAATTTTATCGAATTTGGTTGTGTGGGCATCGAGTTACTTTTAACCAAAATTAAAAAAAAACATGATATACATATAAGTAACAGGATGTAAAAACCTGTAAATCATTTCACTTATTATTAGTTAATCAAGATGTTATACCCAATTTTTTATCATATGATTTTCATAAATTACACAAATTGACGAAATCACGATTTTAAAATTTTTACCCAAAGCCTTAGTTATAATACATAATATTCTTTAAACAAATAAGTTGTCAGGGCTTCAACAAATTGGACAGTATGAAAAATATAAAAAACTAACATTACTTGATAATATGCAGCCCTCTTCAAAGATAGGAAATTATTTTATTTTCTTTTGCAAGATTATTTTGAAGTTTTCAAGATCTTGCTATAAAAAATAGCTTGTTAAATACATATGAGTAAGAACTTTTTATGAAATGCATCTTTAAAAAAAGGGTATCTTATAAAAATTGTTGCGAAAATTAAGAAAAACCATTTTATACTGTATATGAAAATTGCAAAATTTCTAATTAGGTTTTTTTTTTTTTTTTAGCACCAAAAATATAGCTAAAGTTACTTGCATTTGTATATGGTCTTGGTTGAGTACCTATATGACACTTTAATTTTTTTAAATTAGTTAAACAGATAGATTTTGTAATATCAAATATATGGAATTTGACATTAAGCATAACACTAAGTATAGGTTTTCTGTTCATTATGCTTTTTTGTGTTTTTTTTTTTTTATTGTTATTTTTTATTTTTAGAAGCATGAAGAATAGATGTTGGGCGAACATTTTTCTGATGGTTATAATGGTGGGCATTATATAAAATAAAGTATATAATTTTATATACAAAGATCTTATGATATAGTATTTTACTTTCTAAGTTGTTGCACTATATCTTGCAAGTACAATTTCTTTTTATAAAACTCTTGAAACCGGTAATCAAAAGTAGGTTATTGTTGCAATTTACTATGAAAAGGGATTTTCACAAGCAAAGGTCTTTTTCGATCTTTAACAGCTATCCTACCTTGTTTGGTGTATCAAAAGTACGTCGGAGATACGTCAAGTATAACCCAGGTTTGCATAAGGAGAGCATCTTCCTGCATATCGAATACAAAGTAAAGTTCCAATTATATTATATAAATGGAAACTTTACTTTGTATTCGATATGCAGGAAGATGCTCTCCTTACGCAAACCCAGGTTATTCTTGATATACCCCCAACACACTTTCGATGCACCAAACAAGGTAGGGCAGCTGTTAAAAATCGAAAAAGACCTCTGCTATTTTCACATATAGATGTCGATTACTCAAATTTCATAGTAAAAAATTTACCCCCGTGATCTGCATGACATCTTATCATCGCAATGATATATACCCAGTGTTTAAAATTCAAAGTAAAAATTATGTGTACAAATGTATTTTGTGCATCTTTTTTCATCTTTTTTGGAAAATTTTATGTGCACACTTAATAAATTTTTTAAAAATT